GTCCCCTACCCACCACTCCTCCACTCCTCCCAAACCTTCTCACCTCGCCAATCCCCTCCTAACTGCTCCCAACCCATCCTCACCTCGCCCGTCTCCTGCCTGCCCATCCCCCATGGCTTGAGGCACGATGGCATTGATTCGCCGCACTGCCTCCTGCACTGTCGGCGCCACCACCGTCACATGGCCCATCTTGCGCTTTGCTCGCATGTCTGAGGGGGGAAGGGGGGAAGGGAGGGGGGATGAGGTGGAGGGAGAGGAAGAGGTGAAGGAGCAGTGAGAGAAGGAGTTGACTTTTGAGTCGACTCAAAAGTCATGGCTTGAGGCACGATGGCATTGATTCGCCGCACTGCCTCCTGCACTGTCGGCGCCACCACCGTCACATGGCCCATCTTGCGCTTTGCTCGCATGTCTGAGGGGGGAAGGGGGGAAGGGAGGGGGGATGAGGTGGAGGGAGAGGAAGAGGTGAAGGAGCAGTGAGAGAACGTATACCATGGTGCCACCACCGCCATGCCCCATCTTGTGCTTCACACACATGTCTGGAGGTGGAAAGGGGAGATTAGCGAGTAAGAGCAGGGGGGGTTAAGTGGGGGAAAAGGGGGGACGGGAAAGGAGGGAGGGCAGGAGACAGGAGCGGAGGAGACAGGTAAGCAGTGACTGATTTGACTTGTCACATAAGCACTCACTTATAAGCAATGATTGACCTAATTTTACATTCACGCACTGACCAGACTTGCCACATACGCACTGACTGACCTGATTCCTCGCGTGAGCCCACAGACGCACGCACCTGACTTGTCATACCAGTGATCGATGCCCCCGGCGCCACGCAAGCACATAAGCAATCACCTGAAACTTCACATGAGCACTGACCTGACATGTCATGTAAAAGCACTGACCTGACTTGTCGTACCAGTGAATCGATGCCCCCGGCACCACCAGCGCCTGCTTCAGAATGGCCTGCGATATCTCAAAGCCCTCGTCGCCCTGACAGGGGATGCACCAGACGGCGAGAGGTGGGAGATGAGAGGGAGGAGGTAAGCAACGTTCAGAGAACCGGGGCATGATTGAGCTGCCAATTAGCATAGGCTTGGGAATCCCTTCAAATCAAACTATGCCAACCTTCTCTCCCTTCACCCCCCATCACCCATCAACCCCCTCCCAACACTCACATCAGCCTCCCCCAGGATGTTGACCATGGCAGCAGCGCCGACCTTCAGGGACGGATCCCCTAACGGCAGTCCCAGCACGGCCCGCAGGTGCTGCTCGTACTGCGACACATGGCACGCCTCTATGCTGTAGTGCCCGCTGTTGTGCGGCCGCGGCGCCACCTCGTTGAGTAGGACAAAGTCGCCGTCCATCAGGAACAGCTCCACGCCAAAAACGCCCGCCCCGGCCAGCGAGCCGACCGCCAGCTCCGCCACTCGCAGCGCCTGCTGCTGCACTGCGGGCGGCACGCTGGCCGGCACGAGCACCGTGTTGCAGATGTTGTCTCTGGTGAGGTGAGGACATGGCCGGGCGGAAGGGACACAGGCAAAAGATGCAGGGAAGCCAGATGATAGAGAGACTGAAGGTTCAGATGAGGAAATGATCCCAGTGTGTGTGTTTTCCACTTGTCCTTAATCTCTCACCTTTCACCGCTTCTCCCCTCCCACCACGTCTCCCTCTCATCGTCTCTCCCGTTTTCCCCCCTCTCCCCACTCACCGCCTCTAACCCCTCAGTACCGCTCACCGGTGGGTTGTCTCCACAACAGGGAAGCTCTTAATCTCCCCGTCCCGGCCCCTCGCCACCATCACTGCCAACTCCTGCCATGCCACGTGCACACGAGCGTAGGTGTGAAGCATATGCAACAGAATGCGGCCGTACGACATTCACATAGGTCTTGAGGCGCCTCTAAGCACGTGCAAACGAGCACATGCGACCCAGTTCAATGAGTCCAGTGAAGTGTAATGAGTAACCTGTGCCTGTGCAATGCGACGGTGCAGAGAGAGGGAGGGAGAGAGCGAGAGCAAAGAAGTGCACACACACACACACACAGAGCAGGCCCACATTGGTGAAAGGAGTCCACTTCTCAGCGTACAGGCCTCTCTGAGTCACATCTGAATTTTCCAAAGTGACTCAGAAATAGAGAATTCTACAAATTGAGCGCGAAGAGGTGAACACAACACACACACAGAAAGCGGGCTGACCTTGATGAAAGGAGCCCACTTCTCAGCGTACAACCCCCGCTCAAAGCCCCCCAGGTCTGCGAGGGTGGTGCAAGGGAATGGCATTTCCAGAAAACGAAAGAAGAATGAGCGACAAGTCACAAAACGAGGAGACAGAAAGAAGAAATCCTCCTTCCCACAGGGTCCTGTCGCTCAATACTACACCTCCTGGGGACCCTGTGTGCAGGACGCTAGAGCTTAATGGCTCTGCTACGGCTTCAGTTGACCGGCCAAAGCTTCCAAGAAGAACTCACCAAACCAAGACTAAAGCCTAAAAACAAACCAAGACACACCTGCTACAGCTTGCTCAATGTCTTGTTGTGAGTTCACGACCGCGTTGCCACGGCCGTCATACGCGTTCTTGCGGCTCTTGAGCATGAAGGGGTAAGAGAACGCCTCCCCTGCCGCCTCCGCTGCTGCCATATCTGGTATCTGATGGTGAGGGATGGGATGGTGGCATGGGATGCGATGGGACATGCGATGAGCCAAGGCCAGCGTGACATGCGATGACACGCATTAAGAAACACGGAACAAGAGTCAAGAGACGTATATGTATGTGGTGCGGAGCTGACAAGGAACGTGCATCCATGAGACATGCAGCAACTAACCGGCACGAAGTCAGGGAGGGGCACGCCACGATTCCTGAAGTGAACCTTCTGCAGGTACTTGTCCTGGTGGGGGGAGGGACGAGGAAAGGGGGGGGGGGGGGGGGGGAAGATAGGGGTGGGATGTGAGCCAAGCGGAGCACTGAGTGAATCTTCTGCAGGTGCTTGTCCTGATGGCCGTGGGCATAAGGGGGAAAAGGGGGAGAGGGGAGGGAGATGAGGGAGCGAGGTGAGGCAAGAGGAACGCGAAGAGGAGGTGCGAGGGAGGGTTGAACGCGGTTGGGGAGACTTGGGAAAGGTGCGTTTGACAGGTGCTCATACTTGACTCTCATTACAGTCACGCTCTCACCTCGATGACATCAATGGTGGAGGGCTTGGGCTCGATGTCGATGCAGTCGTCGTCTTCCAAGTGCTGCAGCGCGTCCACATGACCATCACAGTCACACTCGTTACAGTCACGCTCACCTGGATGACACCAATGGTGGAGGGTTTGGGTTCAATGTCGATGCAGTCGTCGTCTTCCAGGTGCTGTAGCGCGTCCACGTTCACGTGCTCTATCTCCACCGTCACCACGTCGCTCCTGCTTGTAACGCGGACAAGAGAGCCAGGCACGCTTAAAGCCAATCCGGGTGAGTGCGACAACGGAACGGAGGGAGCTTGACTGACAGCACAGCATTGGACAAAAGAGCTTAGCTGTGTGCAGCTTAGCCATCTTATTAGTTCTGCCCAATAACAAACTTTTACTAGAGGCCTTATTTGGGACGGATTCGACTCACTTCTTCGCGAATTCTCGCACGGTGTCCATGTCCTGGAAGCTTCCTACCACGTGGCGGAACGCCACTGGACGAGCCGGCGCGTCTGGCAGCGGGTCGAGCACCGCGACCTTAATCCCTAAAGGCGACGCCGCCTCGCATAGCATTCGACCCAGCTGCCCGCCGCCCAAAACTCCCACAATCTGCCCGGAAACTCCGCGTCCCTCGGGCTCCCTCTCCCACACGTCTTCATCCTCCGCCATCGCCGCTGCGCCGTTCCCCGCCGCTTCTTCCGCGTCGAACGCGGCGACGCCGCCGTTCAAGCTCTCGCCTTCCTCCGCAATCACCGCTCCGTCAAGAGCGCGCGGGACGAGTCGCGACTTCGCGGCGCGCGCGGGTGTCAGCGGGTTGAGCGGTACGCGCGAGTAGGGCTTCTGAAGCGCGAAGCAGCGCGACATCGACGCGGGGGACGGATTTGAAAGTGAAGATTCGGCGCGCGACGTCAGCAGTTGAGCTCGGTAGAGCGCCACGTGGCAGCCAAGTGAGGAAGCGGCCATGGGGTTTTGCTGACGTAGCGCGAGGAGCGACACGGGCCCGACTATCCTGAACAGGACGAAAGTGGGCGACTTAGGACGCGACTCTGCAGCGAGTTAGGTGTCGAAGGCTAAAATGTGTAGAATACCAGTCTGTGAAGGGGTTAGGCGCGGAGGCAGAGCGGCGCCTGGCTGACCCTGGACGCCATGCCAAGAGAAGGGGGAGGAAGTGGAGGGTGTGTGAAGGACAAGTCACGACAGGAGGAAGGCGCTGTGCCGTGCAGACACACATCCGCTATAAAGCTATAGCGATTCCCATGTACGTCTTTATCATATGGGATGCGCTAGGTGTTTCAATTTGAGATTTACGTAACGAAACGAATGAGCAATGTCGAGTTTTCCCTTTCCTGCCTCCCGCCCAATCACAGTTTCGCACCGTCAGAAAATGTGTCGGCTACAGTGTTCCCGCGGATTGACCCTCGCCGTCACTCACCCTTCTGTAGACGGAGCCGCGGTCAGGGATCAAAATGGGATTGTTGTGTTTCGGAACCAATCAGACAGGGGCGCAGGCGGGCAGTCTGCTGTGCGGAACTCGACGACAAATATTGCTATGCGAACACAGCATCATGTCTGCCTGCAGAGAAATTATTCAAAAGTTCGCGCGAAAACGTAAGGGGAAGGCGTGACCAACCAACTTCGAGGCTGCCTAGACGATGCATTCAAGGTAAAGCCCAAATGCGACGGTTTATGGCGATTTATTAGCACCAATCCCTAGACATCAGGCAAGCTTTTGGTAGTTCTGGGCATCGGGAACTTCGGAGGAGCATACGGTACGGAAGCTCCTGCGCAATGACCGTTCGTGTTTAGGTTAGTAACAGCAGCCGCTAGTGATAATAAACGCGCCCATGGCGGCCTTTCGGGCGCGCCGTAGAGGCTGGCCAGCTACGACCCGAAAACCTTTCAGAAGGCGTCAACGGTTCTCGCAATTCGTTCTGCCCGCGGAAGGAGCCCTCCTGATCCTCGTCATCAGCTGCCTCGCTATTAGCGCCACCGTAACAGCCACTCCCGACTACCGCGACGCGTTGTCGAAAGCTCTCCTTTTCTTCGATGGACAACGGTCGGGTAACATCTCAGGCGCCGCGATCAAGACCAGGACGACGTGGCGCGGCGACTCCGGTCTCACCGACGGCAAAGCTCAGAAGGTGAGGCGATGCGATCTTGACAACGAAATGCGATCCTAGCTCGCCCTCGATCATTCCCGTCCGTTCCATCAGCAGCTCTCACGCAGATCCACTCTCCGTTCTTCCCGTCCCCTTCTTTCCGAGCAGGTCGACTTGGTCGGTGGCTACTATGACGGCGCGGGGAACGTTAAGTACGGCCTGCCGCTGGCCTTCTCCCTCACGCTGCTCTCCTGGGCCACCGTCGACTACCAGTCGCAGCTCGCCGCGTCAGGCGGCCAGCTTTTCGCGGCTCGCGACGCAATTCGCTGGGGGATGGATTACCTCCTTAAAGCGCACACGAGCGCGAATGAGCTCTGGGTGCAAGTAGGCGACGGTCCGAGCGACGACCTGTGCTGGCAGCGGCCCGAGGACATGACGACGGACCGCACCGCGTACCGGGTGAACGCGACGCGGCCGGGGTCTGACGTGGCAGGGGAGACGGCGGCGGCGATGGCGGCGGCGTCGCTGGTGTTCGCGAAAGCGGATCCGTCGTATTCGTCGCTGCTGCTGAACCGCTCGCAGCAGCTGTTCACGTTTGCGGACACGTATCGCGGGGTGTATTCCGATTCTATCCCCATTGCGAGACGAAACTATCCCTCGTGGACGGGATACGAGGTGAGGAAGGTTGACGCGGAAATCTAGGCGCGGCGGGATCACGAGACTGCCTGGTTCTATCTCGCGCCAAGCGACGAGCAGCGCGGTCGATGCATTCAAACTCTTCCTCTCCTCCGAACGTGTCCATAACAGGACGAGTTGGCGTGGGCGGCGGCGTGGCTGCACCGCGCGACGGGATCAGCACAGTACCTCGAGTATCTGGCGGCGGGCGACGAGCAGCTGCAGGGGTCGTCGGAGGCCACCACAGAGTTCAGCTGGGATGACAAGTTCGCCGGCGCTCAAGTGCTGGTTGCTAAGGTACGGTCTCTCCCCTTGACGCGTGGTGAGGGAGTGTATTTGCAGGTGCAGCTGCAGGGGTCGACCCCTGCAGGTGCAGGCCACCACGGAATTGAGCTGGGACGACAAGCGCGCAGGCACGCAAGTGCTGCTGGCTAAGGTACGGCCTTCAACCACCAAAGTTGCTCAGTGGAGTGGGCCAGTAACAATACGTCTCATCTACCATGCCTGTGTCTCCCATTGTATAATGTGTGCCCCTCTCCCCACCCACCCTCTCCACCCGCTCTCGCTCCCTCCGTCCCTCCTCTCCGTCCGTCTCTGCGCCGTGTCTCTCCGCTGGTGGCACTCCAAAAGGGCAGCAGCGGGGCGGCTAATCTGAGCGCAGCGGCACAGGCGGTCGTGCAGGGGTAGTGAGCTCTCATCCCACTTACTCTCCATCCCTCCGTCCCTCCCTGCGCCTTGCCTTCCGGCACAGGTGGCACTGCAAGGCAGCGGCGTGGCAGCGCAGGCGGTGGTGGAGGGGTACCACTCTCACCACCCACTCTCACCACCCACTCTCACCACCCACTCTCACCACCCACTCTCACTCCCTCTGTCTCTCTGTCCCTCCGTCCTTCCCTGTGCCTTCTCGCCCTGCACAGGTGGCACTCCAAGGGAGCAACAGCGCGGCGGCTAATCTGAGCGTGGCAGCACGGGCGGTGGTGGAGGGGTATCGCGGCATGGCGGACGCTTTTGCATGTGCATACATGCCCGACAACCCACTGCACTCCGTCTACATCACCCCAGGTAAAGATTCTGATTCATGGGTTTTGTTCGTTCCAAGTACAGCCTTCACCGCTTGTGCCTTGTCGAGCCTGCCTGCCCAATGCTGCCCTCTTCCCAGTGCCTGATATGCCATGCCACTTGGACTTTTGGCTGCTTAGCCCTTTTGGACTTTTCCTCTTGGCCCTCCAATCCTCTCCCTGCATCAACCCTTCTCTTGCAGGCGGGCTGGTGTACATACGAGCGCGCAACAGCCAGTACGCCACGTCAGCCGCGTTCCTGCTGCTGCTCTACAGTGACTACCTGGCGTCGGCCAATCGGACGCTCTCGTGCGACGGCACGCAGTACTCGCCTGCTGACATGGCGGCCTTCTCCAAGTCACAGGTGGGATTCGATACACTCACACCAGATGGGCTACCTGCCCTTCAACCCTCTCAACGCATTTCGAACGTTCCCCTCCACTCCCCCCCTCTAAACTCATTCCTACCCTCTCTCTCCACCCTCCTCCACCGCTCTCAACCCAGGTGGATTACCTGCTAGGGGTCAACCCTCTTAACGCATCTTACATGGTCGGCTTCGGCCAGTCCTATCCACAGAAGCTGCGCCACCGGGCGGCGTCCATCGTCTCTTTCAAAGCGGACAGCACGCCGGTTACCTGTGAGGGCGGCAAGGCGGATTGGCTCATGAGCCCCGACCCCAACCCCAACGTGCACGTGGGGGCCATTGTGGGGGGCCCTGATGCGGTAAGCCGTTTTGCTGATGAAGTAAGCCCAAGTGTACATGCTGTTATCATCTTGTATCTCTGGCAAGGCGGATTGGCTCATGAGCCCCGACCCCAACCCCAACGTGCACGTGGGGGCGATCGTGGGGGTCCTGATGCGGTAAGTGAAGGCCTATTGTGGATGGGTGGTGCTACGAGCTTTCACTGTTGCTGTGCTGTGAACCTGCTGTGGCAAGGCGGAGTGGCTCATGAGCGCGGATCCCAACCCCAACGTGCACGTGGGGGCCATTGTGGGGGGTCCTGACGCGGTAAGTGAAGCTCGTGGGTTGCCTTGTGAGTCACAGAAGGTCTCTTTGCCCGCCCGCCTGCCCGCACACCCAAATGCCTGCCTCACATTATGCCCCCTTCCCCCTTCCCCAACCCCCTTCCCCCTTCCCCCAACCCCCTTCCCCCTTCCCCCTTCCCCCTTCCCCCTTCCCCCTTCCCCCTTCCCCCTTCCCCCTTCACATCATGCCCCCATGGCGCCCCTTCAGGACGATGCATTCATGGACGACAGGCAGCAAGCAGCATTCAACGAGCCATCCCTGTTCACCAACGCTGCTGCTGTCGGGGCCCTTGCTCGCCTCGCTGCTGGCGCCCTCCCCCCCCGGCCCCTCGCCCCCTCCTGCTCCGCCCTCCCCTCCCCCTCCGCCATCGCCTCCCCCCGCTCCCCCCCCTCCCCCGCGCCCGCCCAAGCCCCCTCCGCCTCCCCCCAGCCCGCCATCCCCTCCGCCTTCCCCCCCTCCTCCAGGTATGCGTCTCTTAAGTTACTGTCATAGGAACGAATTCCTTTTTCTTTTCTTCATGAGGCTAAGTGAGTGTTCTTTCTTTAGTTCTCCTCTTTTCCACCTCCCTCGCTGCTGTGTGCCCCTTGCTTTTCTCCTCCTGCTCTATAACCTCCCCTCTTCTCTCTTTTTTGTGCATCACCCGCTCGCCCTCCGGCCGTTCGTCCTTCCTGGTGCTTACCTTCCTTCCTGGTGCTTACCTTCCTTCCTGGTGCTTACCTTCCTTCCTGGTGCTTACCTTCCTTCCTGGTGCTTACCTTCCTTCCTGGTGCTTACCTTCCTTCCTGGTGCTTACCTTCCTTCCTGGTGCTTACCTTCCTTCCTGGTGCTTACCTTCCTTCCTGGTGCTTACCTTCCTTCCTGGTGCTTACCTTCCTTCCTGGTGCTTACCTTCCTTCCTGGTGCTGTCAACTATTTTCTTCCCAACTCCTCCCTCTTACCTATCTCTAACGCCCTCTCTCCCCCAACCAAACCCCTTCCGCCAGCCATGCAAGTGACGGTCACCTGCACCATCTCAGGAGGATGGACAGCAGATGGCAAGGACGTGGCACAGTGGGGCTGTTCCCTCACCAACACGGACCCTCTCTTCCCCGTCACAGCCATCTCGCTGCTCTGCTCCTCCTTCCAGCCGCAGCAGTACTGGAACATCGACCCCGTAGCCTGCGCTCTCCCGGACTGGGCCAGGAACCTGGGTCCAGGCGGGAGTGCGTCGTTTGGGTTCATACAGGAGAAGGCTGTCACGCCGCAGTTCAGTGTTCTCGGGTATTTCTCGAATGCACCCCCCGCGCCAAGTGCAAACGGCGGGTCACCTCCGCCTTCCTCTCCTCCTCCGCTTCCTCCTCCTCCTCGTTCGTCTCCCACTCCCCCTGCCCAACCTCCCCCTGCCTCACCTCCCCCGCGCCCTCCTCCCCCACTGCAGACTGGATTTCCCCCTCCTCCAGCCAATGCTCCTCCGCCACCCACTCCCCCTCCTGCCTCTCCTCCTCCCTCCTCCGCCTCTCTCTCGCTCGAGCAAAACCTGCTTTACGAATGGCCTCCTGACGCTGCCGCATTCAACATCACCATTTCAAACCCCTCCACCCGCACCGCTGTTGCGGTTACCATATCTGTAACCCTGCCGGTAGATGACCCACCAATCACCAGCGTCTGGGGTCTTTCCTCTGCGGGCAGCTCCACCGACAGCTCTTCGGGCAGCTTGAAAGTTGTGACGCTGTACCACGTTTCGGCAAATCTGCTGCCCATGCTGCCCGGAGAATCGGCGCAAGTGGGTTACATCAAGTCTGGGCAGCCTGGAAATATTTCCATTGCGGAGGTTGTATGGTTGGAAGAGTCACCCCCTCCTCCTTCTCCTCCCACCAAACGGTCCCCTCCTCCTAAACCCCCCCGTCCCCCTCCTCCTAAACCCCCCCGCCCCCCTCCCCCTCGCCCCCCAAAGCCACCACCTCGGCCCCCACCCCGTCCTCCCCCACGCCCCCCCCCACCTCCCCCCCCGCGCCCCCCTCCACGCCCTCCCCGAAGACCTCCCCCCCCTAAAAAAAAGTTCAATCCGGGGCACAAGTTTTAGTACCGTATCTCCTTTGTTTGACCGTGCATCATTGCTATGGTTAATGGCTTTCCACCAGCTCCAACTTTAGGCTAAAATGCATAATTAATGCCCTATCAGATGCATGCATGGTAAAACTCAGGACACAGTTTTCAGTGATTGTGCAACAGTTATAATAAAATTAATGCAAGCACAAAAGAGATGTCAATAAGAGACAGATGAAGGGCAAAGAATTCTCCTAAACTATGGGAAGAATGAAGGGCTATGAATGAATGGAGCATGTGTGAAGACACCACACCACCACCACACGGCCATATATGCAGTGCAATATTTTATGATGTTTCAAGTACTGCACATGAAACTGTTTATCTATTGATGATTATAGAACGGAGGGTTACTGATCACCGCTGGTGTAACCCCGATTTCGCGCAGCTGCTGAGACAGAGCCCCGTTCTGTCGCTCCAGCGCTTTACACCTCGCCTGCAGCGACTGAATGTACACCACCGCATCTTCCAGCATCGCTGACGTGTCAGTCTTAGCGTCCATCTTAGGAAGCACCTCCTTGAGATTCTGAAGCCGCGACGTGATCTTCTCCCTTCGCATGCGCTCCGCGACGCTCCGCGGTTTGGTAGAGTAGCCAGCCATGTGGCCGTGCGCGTTTGCGTTCCCTCCGCCTCCCGCACCTCCGCCATCGGCGCCGGGACTGCCGGCACACGCTGTGGCGCCTTCCGTATGGCCGTCCATGGAATAATCTGACCCAGATCCCTGCTTCTGCAGCGATTGCTGTTGCCCCCCGCCCGCGGCCTGCTGCTGCGCCGCCAGGCTGCGCCCGCTCGAAATGCTTCCGCTTCCCCCCGGAGGGCTGTCGTCCTGCTGCGGTAGTAATCCCGCCATACCCGCTGTCCCCGCAAACACTCCCGCGCCCGCGTGTCTTTTTCCTCCTTCCTTGCCCGTTTCTGCCCCCCAGCTCCCCGTCCTCGCTTTAGGGTTTAGCCCTCCCCTTCCCCATTGCGCGGAAACATCCGCCATGCCGCTTCCTACGTTGCGAGCCGACGCGTTAGCCGCGGCGGCAATGACGGCGGGCGACACGCCGATCTTCGAAAGCTCCGCCGCCAAAACTGCCTCCGGGCTGATCGACAGGTGCGCGCTGTCTCCGGAGCCGCCGCCTCCTTCCGCCAGTTGAAGAGGCCCGTGCGGGCTCGCTCCTAGCGTCGAGAAGCGCCCCGGCGTGCTTACAACGAGGTTTCCCTCCGCGTCGCGCTTCCCAGAGGGGCTCGGGCGGGTAAGAGGCGACATTCCCGAGCCGCCGCCGTGGCCTGCATGCGAACCACGGACCTCATGTAGGTCCGGAAGACCGCGCCTCGACCGTAGGCCCGACGAATGATCGGCGGCCATGGCGGCGGAACTGGCGGCGATCCGTTGGCCGACGGAGAATGACGCTGATTTCCTGTGTCCCGCGCCTCTGGAGTCATCGCCTGCGGCGTGATCGGCGGCGCCTGTTGCGGCGGTAAACTCGCTGAAGCGCGCGGGAGGGGATGAGCCGAAAGACTTCACTCGAGGCACGATTTCCGCCGCCGGTCTGCGTGGGACGGGCTGCGCCGCCGCCGCCGCCACCGATTCCTGAGCCTCTTTTTGCAGCGCAGCCAGCAGCAGCTGCTGCTCGGACGGCGTTAAAGCCGAGACGCCAGAGCAGCGAATGCGGTGACCCACGTCGGACTTGGGGTCTAGAAGCGCCGCGGCGAGGGATTTAGCCGACAAGCCCTGGGGGCTATCATGCTCGCCGCGCCTGCGCATCGCTGCGGCGGACGCGGAGGCGTCGAGTGACGGGTTCGTTAGCTGACTCTGCTGCTGCTGCTGCTGCTGCTGCTGCTGCTGCTGTTGCTGAAGTTGGGAGTGTTGCTGCTGCTGCTGCTGCTGCTGCTGCTGCTGCTGCTGCTGCTGCTGCTGCTGCTGCTGCTGCTGCTGCTGCTGCTGCTGCTGCTGGAGCTGCTGCAGCTCCTGCTGTTGCTGCTGCTGTTGCTGCTGTTGGGAAGCGGCAGACTGGGGTTGCGGCGCGGGGTCGTTCTGCTGCATGAGTTGATCGTAGAAGCTACTCAAGTCCCTATCCTGCACGAAAGCCGGCACTACTTGCGTGGGAGCTTCGAGCGGCAGAGAGTCGGTCGACGTGTCAAAGAAGGTGTTGTCGTCCCTGCCGCCGATGTTCTGCATGTCGTCGTCCATTTGCGCTCACGTTTCGGGAATTTAGCGTTCGTCGGGTCTCTTGCTAAACTTGGATCGAGATTGCAGACTTGGAGTGCTAACAAACGGTGGTCAACATACGAACGTGTGGGTTATTCAAGGTGGAATCGCTACGCGTCAGTGGGTGTCAACGAAAAGCTCCGAGGACAAATACGCAAGTCGTCAGATCAAGGCACTGAACTGCCCCTTCGTTGACGATGTGTCCACTTTTAAACTTGAAAGCACAGGATGCGTGAGGTGCGAGTCGGGGATCGACGCGAGAGGCAGGCAACGAGAGAGACAGCGGCCATAGGTGTGCGTGTCAACAAATCCAAGTGGGCGGGAGGCGGGTGAAGAAAAACTGTTTGAGCATTGCGGTAGCTACTACAGCTGGTGAAAGGGCATTCAGGCAGAGTGGATGGGTGGGACGGGATGGAAAGTTGGAAACGAACATAAAGAAAAAGCATCAGGTCGGGGTGTAGGAGATTGATGGGGAGGAAGTGCGCGGGAGGGAAGCTAGGTTCTGGCTTGGACGCGAGTTTGTGGATGGTGGTGAGGCTCGGGCGGCCTTGCGATTGGCTGGCCTGTACATGGCTCGGGGCAAAACCTCAACCATTCGGCGGGCAGTTTCTTGAAACCCGGACTTCGTTCAATGTGTGCTGCGCTGGCTGAACGGAAGGTGCTTCCAAAATGCGCCACTCGGGGAAGGAACTGTCAGCGCACAAGGAGGCCATGCGCAGCGAGAAGCAGGCGCGCAGCACAAAGCTGGCGGACGCCCTGGGGGCGGAAGTGGTCGTGCGAGAGCAGTGGGATGGTTGAGGGGAGGAATACACGTGGGCGGGTGGAGGAGTTTGGTTGGGGGAGATGTGTGGTGAAGCACAATGAAGGCGGAGGCGCGCGGCCATGATTTATAGTTGAGGCTGCAAAGAAATCATTGTTTCTTGTTGGAACGTGGGACCTTGTCGCTCTTGGTGTGCAAATGAAACGTGCTCGTTGGCGCTTCTTTCAGAATGAAGTCTACTTCCACTTATTTCCGCCCCAAATTATAATTTGTATAAATACAGTTCATCCGAACAACCACACAGCACTCATTGAAAAGGGGGAAGAGGTGATATTGAAAAGGAGCTTTCACCACCATGTACAAATCCACCTAGCAATTGGTGTAGTACCATTGTTTACGATCCAGCAGAATTTCCTGCCCGACACCATGGGAACTGTACGCAAAATATTGTCAGCCTACTAGACTCTTCAGTAGGGGTTGGTCGGGGGTTCTCGAAAATCTTCGAGAAGTGGACTGCCCTCCGTTGGTTGTTATGATGAGCTCATAATTTTCTGTAAACTCGACTACGTAAACTGCATTTCTGGCTGACAAACATTCGATTCCTATCCTAACCGAAGGAAGGAAACAATATTTCCCAAAGGGGCAGCCAGTGGACAACTGGCCCACGGGGCAGTTACGACGCAAAAACTGCCAGCGACAAAAATGCAGGGAGACTCGTTAAAGGGTACCCAGGATTCTCAGAGGTGCAATCCATGGATGGTTAGAAAACTTATAAACTTGCAGTCCCTCCAACACACACTCATTTTGCAGTTTTAATCATACCGTATACATCATTTTCGGGTTCCGCAGCAACCTATGCAGTGGATCAAATCAGCTGTTTCGAAAAAGTTGTGGACAGGACATGCGCTGCGGCAGGGCGTGACGGAGCGCGGTGGGGCGCAACGGTGGGGCGCGACGGGGGCACGGCTGGGGCGCGACGGTACGGCACGGGGGGCGCGACTAGGCTGCTAAAGGGGGCCGCGACGGGGCGCTAGAGGGTGCTAGAGGTGGCCACGATGGGGCGCTGGAGGGGGCCGCTAGAGGGTGCTAGAGGGGGCCCGCTAGAGGTGGCCGCTAGGAAGAGGGCCGTATGGGCATGAGAGCAGCTGGGGAGGTAGGTAGGGCGGAAGCGAGAAACCTAACCTACTCTGATACCATGTCAATAAGAGAATGATTCCATGAGGGCAAATAGGCAGATATATCATCTCATACCCAACCTAGTGTGAGAATTACGAGGAATAATGGACTAGGAAATGAGTTGGGTACAAATATGTAACCCTAGGAAACTGTACCCTATACTGTCTACCCCACTACAGCCTAGAAAGACTATAGCATGAATGTTTGACACACCCCCATAGGCAAAGTGGGGGAGAACAAGGGGTCACAAGACCAGTCAAGCAAGGCAAGCTCAGGGTGGATCACAACGTCACCACACATTCCGAGCACAAGTTCAAAGGCCAAAAGGCCAGTTCACATGCAGGATTATAAATCAAGGTGAACAAGCAGTGATCGCAACCTAGCAAAAGTATACAGGCAGGTGCAGGATATATAGATCACAGTACAAAGCAAAGTCAAGAGGTAAGCAAGTGAGGCCAGGTAGGCACAAGACCTAACATAGTACAGAAGCGCTGATGATCACAAGGCTGAAGTGCCTTGGCAAAGATATCAGCAGTGTTGGCCTGAGAGGCCACGTAAGCAAGGCGCAGCTCACCACGCTGCTGCAGCTCACGTGCAAGGAAGTAGCGAAGAGCAATGTGCTTCGTTCTGTGCTCCAGTCTGTGCTCCTGACACAAGGCCAGCATGGCCTTGTTGTCTACGTACAGAACTGGAGGAGAACGAGGCGGCTCTCCCAGGTCGGTCAGCAGGTAGGTGAGTCAGCGTAACTCCTGTGCAGCCATGGCCCCTGCGTAGATCTCGGCCTCACAGCTGGAGCCGAGAACAGAAGACGAGCGG